ACTCGATCCCCTTGTCTTTTGTCCCACTCAGATAGCGAAGAACCCTCTTTGCTGTCTGCCAATGCCCAAAACCGGGCTCATGAGCATATCGTGCAAGCGCCTTGACCACATAGGCGATGTCCGAGCAGCACGTGACCGAGCAGAACATCAATGCGCCAACGAGTTGCCGATAGGGAACCTTCTTCATCTTCGTCTTCTCTTCGTCCGTCTTCGGTGACATCTCAGAGGTCAGTTGGATACCGGACGCACAAGGGAAATCCACTGGGTTCGCATTCTCCATGCTGAATCTCTTGAGCATCTTGTCGATGTACTGTGGCTGTGTGATCTGCAGGGTCCTTTCTTGACGATCGCGGATGATCTTGAGGCCGAGAAAGATGTCAACCTCGCCCAGGTCCTTCGTCGCAAACACGCTCGACAGCTGCTGCTTGAACCAGGTGACCCCCTCTTGTTCGCTGACGATGAGAATGTCGTTGACGAACACCACAAGAAGGATGTTGTTGTCCTTATGCAGGTACACACAGGGCTCCTGAGGGTGGCGAACGAACCCTCTGTCGAGTAGCTGGTTGTGAAGAGTGATGTTCCATGCGCGCGGGGCTTCCTTGAGGCCATACAATGCCTTCCGTAGACGAACAACATGGCCGGGCTTCTCATATCCAGGTGGGCACCGCATAAAGACAGGCTTGTCCAGCGGGGCGTTGAGAAATGCTGTGTTGATGTCCATCTGATGTATCTCCAGGTTGAGTTGATTCGCCAGGGCAAACGCTGATCGAACAATGTGGTAGGAGGGCGTAGGGGGAAACACGTCGTCCACTTGGTTGCCGTCTTGTTCGAATCCTCTTGCGACGATGCGAGCCTTGTACTTGTCAGGCTTGAGGGCAAATACCCATCTGCATGAGATGATCTTGGTCGTTGCGGCGTTCGTTGGCACGTACTCAAACACTCCCAGGTCTTCAATCGACTTCATCTCACGATCCATGGCTTCTTTCCATTGGTCTGCTGCTGCTGACTTGATGGCTTGGTTATAGGTCTTCGGTATGGTTGGCTGAAATAGCTGTGGAAGTGATGGGTCATCTGCGGTCTTGTCGTCTTCCGATGGGTCTTCTGTCATCTCGCCATCTTCATTGACAAAGAGCAGGTCAGGATGATCGAAGAAGTGGTCTTTATAGACGCGTCCAGGGATGCGTCGCTCATCCGTTGTTCTTGTCGTTCTTGTCTGTTGCTCATCAGTGTCTTCCTCCCCCTGTTGACCATTGCCGTCTTCTTCAATGATCGTCATGTCATCTTGGGCATCATTTGTCTCCTGATGCTGGTGTGGTTCGTTGTTGTCGTCGTGTATGTCTTCGATTGCTGGTAGGGGCTCACTCACAGATGTTTCG